CCTTCCCATTATTGGAGTTATAAGTAAAGGTGTGGATTTTTGTTTAGATTCCAGTTTTTGTTGCTGGACTGTGTTTAAATGTGACAGTGCACCAGTACTGGCTATGCGTGGCCCTGAGATTTACACAGAGAACGTGAGCATAAAATAAGAATAAATGAAAACATCTTTAGTACAGTGACTTTATAAGAATTTTACTGAAAATGTGACTAACTTTCATATTTTGTAAATTCAGGTTTAGATATGCGGCATTTTATTGACATGGGGCCTGGCTCTATTTTGTTGGCTTCTTGCTCAGAAATATGGTAAAACGCATAAATACGGTAAAACAGCCTTCCCAATCATAAATTCCTCTTTCATGAATCCCTAGCCCTTGGAGATTGACTTTCATGTATCTCTTTGATAACCGTGAGGCCTTTAGATCATGAAAATGAACATTTTTGAGATGTGTGAGTTTTAAAATCAGCACTTCTCCTAACATTTGGAGGGGCAGGAAGAAAAATGCTTCTTGACGTGCAAATTATTTGCTACAAAGCAAAACATATTTACAAGCCTATCCTTGAAACCAGAGGAAACAGAATCCCTAAAGAGTTTCAAGTGAGCAAAGGACGGTGCTTTGAAGAGTATCCTGTTTTACCCTCATTTAAGGTGTGAGGACACATGATAGGTTGGTTAAGAGGGTGGATTCTGGCAGCAACGGCCTGGCTTGAAAGTGGCAAGTCCTGGCTCTGTCACTTACTAATGTGTGATCTTAGGCAGGTGCAAAACTTCCTGAGGCTCAGTCTTGTCACTTGGATATGGGCATAATTGTAGACCTTACCTCTTAGGGCTGTTCGGAGGACAAGTGAATTAGTATTTGTATAGTGCTTTTAGCAGCATATAGTTGGTGACTTATAAATGTTGATTATAATTATTGTTGTCTTATCATTTTTATTATTATCTATATTATCATTATCATTATTATGTAACATGTTTCACATTTCTTTTATCCAGCGGTTTCACTTTCTAGCTTGAGGGAACCTGGATGTCTTTAAAGGCTTTTTTTCATCTGGGGATGCTCCTATCACATTTAAATTTTTTTTCTTTGTCAGTTGCCCATTTCCTGAATATTAATATTATCCAACAACAATTTATGTGGAGTCACTGATGCAAGGAGAAGTTATGCTATGCTGAATACTTTATTTATATTTTTTATGTAAACATAATTTGCTTTGTAGGCACAATATAACAAAAGCTCTAAAGCCACAAATACATTAGACAATGTTTCAGTTCACTCCCATCAAGCTTAAATTACAGAGAAGCCTTCACAGTTCCTTTAAGGCAAACTGAGACGTTCTTACACTTCAGAAAAACAATCATGAGATAGGAAAGAAGGGGCTTTAAAATGAGAGTACATTAAAATGTTTTTTAAAATGGTATTTCTCCCTATTCTTTATGGCAGAAATTGATCTTATTGGTCAAGATCTAGTTTTCTTATCGTGTATTCTCAGGAAATAGAAGGGTTTTCGTTAACCAGCTGGAATAATTCACGATTACCGGATTAACCTTGTTGGTTGAAAAAAAAATAGATTTGGGAAGGAACGATTTTTCATGCTTCTCCTCTGGATATGCCAAAGGCTGTCTGGATTCTGCATGTAGTTGAGTTCCTACTCCCTGGAGACGAAAAGCCCTAATATGACCAGTGGCTCTTTGCTTCTCCAGACCCAGAAAATGCCATTTCTGCCCAGCTTACTAGGCACGTCGCTTGGCCAGTGGTTCTTCGGATCTGCCTTTTGGCCTGGTTATGGGAGAAACATGGCCGATAATATAGCACTTAGCAAAGGTACTGGGGAATAAACATCCCATTATCTTTCTAGATGGCCCAGAACAGGAATACTGGCGAGTCCTGGGGTAGGAAGAGAAGATGATGTTGGTGTTCTCTTTGGAGATACTCTCATCCACACTTGACAGATGGCAGCACCCTTTCTCACCTTCATATTTTATAGGTACACAATGAAGAGAAACTCCCTTCAGATAAATATTTGGCATAAATAAGTCATCATCACAAACTTAGGATAGGAAAAAAGAACACGATGAGTGAGGTGACATTTGTTACGAAAGGACTTCAAACAGGTAATTGTTGAAATGTATTCCCATTACTCAGGGGAAGAGTTGGGTCCACCCTAAGGCTTGTTGGTGGACAAATTGGGCAATGCAGAAACCCTTTGGTGTCTTCCTCAAGAATAATTGGCTTTACCTTTGAAGCTCAGTCAAGTGGGGTGGGGGTGGGGCTTAGGCGCTTAGGAGCTGGACAATTGAGCGGGCATGTGCAATCGAGTCATTTGGTCCCTGATTTGTAGAATCTGCACCGTGCTTTTATGTATCAGAGGGGAGGAACTGCACATTTGGCAGCAGATGCAGAACAATCACTTTTTGTATCACTAAAGTTTGCTACATGTTGAAACACACTTTTGGCAAGAAAAAAGATACTCATTGATTTTTTGAAATATGGTCTGCAAGGGAGTCCTTCCCTGGGGGATCCACAGTGAATGTGGCTGCTTACTACCAGGAATTGAAAATAGAAAAATTGGGAATGCTGATGGCAAGGGTGAAA